TAACTTATAGTCTCTTAATTTTATAACGTAATCAATCAATCTCGACCTCTCTACACTTCCCCTCATATATGAGGTATATATTCTTTTATCAACGTGGAATATTCATATAGTCACACGCAATTAACCTAGGTGCATATAATTGCATAATCATTACTTTATCATGATCAAAAGAGTCACAACACACATTATTACGGGACAAAATTTAAAGTTGGCTCTATCTACTTGTGTAAGTTGCGTAAAACTTGAAGTGATTAAGCATCTATAATTAAGAGTACAAATTCTTGCATGCATAATGATGCTCCACGTTGTCAGGTATAGTATCACATATTCACGTACACTGATACACTAGCATTGTCAAAAATTTTATGCCATCATCAAAATCCAAAACGTAAATTTGTTAAAACAAAATTCTTCAAACTCATGTCTTAAAACAATAATGTTCACTAAAATTATTTATGGACCTCATTCCAATAATATTCCATTCCCTTATTTTTTATCATCCAATCAGGAATAATTTACGTATGCCATTTACAAAATTTACACTCCGTATATATTTTTTTAAAGATATAATCCTAGTTTTTTTTTTTTTTTTGAGGGATAATATAATCCTAGTTCATAGACCTGTATTACTCTCTTTGTTTCAAAGTGATGAATGTCAATAATTTAGACCCAAAAAAAAAGTGGAAGTTGGCAAAATTGGAAATATTTAACAATTGACTTAGTAAAATTGACATATTGTGAAATATTGAAAACTAGGAAAGACAATCGAAATTAAAGATTTACTTGCTTAGATATATATATATATATATATATATATATATATATATATATATATATATATATATATATATATATATATATATATATATATATATATATATATATGTATTCTCTCCATATGTACATTGTTTTTTTCTTTAAGAAGTTTGAGTACAAATTTTTTCATTAATTAATTAATTGCACTCCACATCAAGTTCAATCATTTGCTTGAATTAAATATAATGAATAATACATGTCAAAAATATTTAAATACTAAATGGCCTTTAAAAATAGGAAAGATATTCAATAAAGACATATACAATAAATAAATAAAAAATATATATATATAAAAAAAAACTTCCTAATTTGAGCTTCATTTCAATTCAATTTTTATTTTGTTATTGTAAATTTTCATTGTACTTGATCGTAATAAAAAATTTCTTTTGTTAATATGGAAAATTACTATGCCATAGTTAAGCCTTTTTTTTTTTACTAAAAAAAATAAAATAAATAATTCTCTTTATACTTCCGTAAAAAAATGTACTTTCTAAAACATGTACCTTATATTCTTATAAAGTTTTAACTTAATAGACGAACACTTATTTCCCAAAAAAAAATTATACAAAAACTTTACTCTAAAGTAGAGATGCTAATTATGGAATATGCATATAAATAGCTAGCAAGATGACCATTGATTTTGTCATAAACAGTGCTCTCTACTCAAATAAATTAAATACTTTCATATTATATAAAGCCTTATTAACAAGGGTTCGTTCATATATTATCATTTAGAGAAATAATTATGATTAGCTTAGATGATATATATAAGGTCATAGTAGCCACGGTTCCACTCTATGTAGCCCTAATCTTAGGTTATGGTTCGGTCAAATGGTGGCACCTATTTAAACCCGATCAAGTCGATGCCATAAACCGGCTCGTTTGTTACTTCACCCTTCCTCTATTCAACTTAGACTTCACCGCACATAGTAATCCCTTTAAATGGAACTACAAGTTCCTAGCCGCGGATGGTATATCTAAAGTCATTATTGTCGCGGTGTTAGCCCTTTGGGCTAGGTGTAGTAGTAAAGGAAGTTATTGTTGGTCGATTACTAATTTTTCTTTGTGTACACTAACTAGCTCACTTGTGGTTGGGGTGCCCTTACTAGGAGCCATGTACGGTCAACTAGGTATTGACTTAGTTGTTCAATTTTCGGTTATTCAAGCTATTGTTTGGCTAACGGTGCTTTTACTTGTTCTTGAGTTTCGTCAATCTAGGTCAGATTTTCCTAGTACTATGAATTGTAGTACTAGTGTAGTGAGGAATCCTCCTCAAGTCCATTCTCTTGAGAGTTCTCGGAACGATTTGGAAGGAAAAGTTATTAATATCGACGGTTTAGGGGATGATAATAGACCATCGTTATGGTGTTTGATGAAGGTAGTTGGGAAGAAATTGCTTGCTAATCCCAACTCTTATTCTTGCATTGTAGGCATTGTTTGGGCGCTTTTCGCTTGCAGGTAATTATTATAAATTTATAATTATGTGTTATGATTTTATAATTTGATTTAATTTGTTATAATTTAGGTATTAACATGTTAATGTTATTGATGTATATATGTAGGTTCAATTTTCAAATACCAAGTATTGTTGATGGATCTATACTCATTATGTCAAAAGCTGGGACTGGCACTTCTATGTTTAGTATGGGTAAGCCTAATTACATATATAAAAAACGCGTGTTACCCTCTCAAACAAATAGTTATATATACGTGCAGTACACAAAATTATCAAAATATAGGTACACCCAGATGTATAATAAACTTAATGTTTAGTTATATTGGGGATATGTAGGCATGTTCATGGCTTTGCAAGAGAAGCTAATCGCGTGTGGACCAAAGTTGACCATGTTTGGGATGATACTGAAGTTTGTAGCTGGCCCAGCTGCCATGGCTATTGCCGCCCTTGTTGTTGGTTTGCATGGTGATGTTCTTCGTATAGCTATTATCCAGGTATATATATACAATAGTGTACACCCTTGTTATTCTCTTCAATTTTTAAATCATATTGTTATATTACTAGCTAGATTAATTGTTGTTCTTTCAAAAAAAAAAAAGCTAGATTAATTGTTGTAACTTGTACTACCTCTGTCCGGATTATGACCAATTTTGGAGGAAGGGATTATATGTGTACTCCGTAGTTTGTACCACCTACCATTATATCATGTTTAGATTTACGATATACTTGTTAAAACTTACGTAGTGTTGCAACTATTTTAATTTTCTTTTTTCAGGCGGCATTACCACAATCTATTACCTCATTCATATATGCCAAAGAATATGGACTACATGCGGATGTGCTTAGTACTGCGTAAGTTTGTTTGATCAACAAATGCCTTAAGAAATTCGTCAAAATTAATAATAATTATAGCTGAAAAAGAAGTATGTAAGAATTGAGAACGGAGGGAGTAATAATAATAACTAAGAGATTTCAATAATTATGTACTCCGTGGTTAATTATTTAACATTTTGGTGTCGTTTATGACCTTTTAATAATTTTGTGTCTTGTCTGTTTTGGCATATTGCAGGGTGATCTTCGGAATGATGGCATCACTTCCAATTTTGATAGCGTATTATGCGATTCTTCAGACATTACATTCTTTATAAAGTACTCTCAATTTGTACCATAAAGGTTATATTATACTCCATGATTATGGGGAGATGTTTGTTCTCTATCTATATATAATCACACTATAATTAATGTAAAATTTTAAACTTGTAATGAGATTGAGCATGCACTTTACACAAAGTACGTCTTTTAAATCGATTAACTATAGAGCTTATCATCACGCATTAGGCTAGCTACTTAAAATTTAGTTCTGTATTTCCACCGCATGTATATAAATAAGTACGTACTCCCTTGATCCCTTCGTCTTATTGTGTATTCTATCCTTTTGTATTGTTGTACAAAAAAATTGTAATGACGAATGAATATTAATTTCAATATCATTCCATCATTGAAGCTTAGCTAGCATAATCATTATTTAGTTGTTAATAGCTGATGTGGATGTGAAGTGATTATTCGTATTGATCAATTTTAAAAACCAATTCGTTCTATCAGAACTCAGAAGTGATCCGACATATTGGTTATGTTTATTTTAAGTCTAGATCCATATCGCTAGTATCATTACAACAAGATATTAGAGAGCGTTATTTAGATGTAACCATTGTAAAAGGTTGTACATAAAGCTACCAATAATTTAAAATATTAACAATATAAGAAAAAAAATAAAATTTAATATGTATGTATGATATGTTTTTTTTTTTTTTTTTGACAACAATATGTATGATATGTGCATACAATTCTTTTTCTCCTTAGGACATCAATATATAGTCATGATATGTTGATATATTGTGTGATTACTTAATATGGTCCGATGTACTCCCTCCGTCCCTAAATTACATTTCTGTTTCTCTCTGTTATGTGAGAAATAAATGCTAGAAGTATGAATGTAATTTAGGGACGGAGGGAGTAGTTATTTAGGTAAGATTCTACTAATTGTTCGAGAAAATAAGAATTTTTCAAATGTAGAAAAAAATCATTACAAATGAAGAAAGATTTCAATACTGAAATCTAATGTAGTTTTAAATATTGTACTTATTGCTACGTACTGCCACTAGTTCATGACTTAATTAGTAAATATGGAAGTACGTACGGTCGGTACGGATTATTGTTAGTGTACTTGATGATGCCTAATTAAAATAATTAATTTGAGGCTGTGAATTTCAATCGAAATTATAGAAGTTGGAATTTAAATGGGGAATTAATTTTAACATTTTTATAGCATGATTACCAATTTGTAAACAAAGAAAATATAAAAGATTTAAAAATTCAAGAAAACAACATATTTGAATCAAATATAATTAACAAATTCATATTTTCCATCAAAAACTAAAATCAAACCCATATTAGGAAGAGTTAAAAATGGACAAAAATCAAGAGAAAATAAGATATTACCCAATCCAAATTGATCTAAAATATTTTACATCCCTTAATTGAGATTTACTAGGAATAAAATATTTTTGATACACCACTCTTTCTTCTACTCTATTTCAATTCCATAAATAAATTATCATACCCCTTAGTATAAATTAATAACCATTGAACTCCTAATTAAACCATTTTATTGACTCTTCATTTTCATCACTTTACACCCACAAAAACCCTTAGAATTAAGCTCATCACCATGACTCCTAGTAGTAACAACCTCATTCTCCTTCTAATACTCCCCTTTTTCTTCCTTCACCCTTCTTTAGCATATCGAATGAGACCGGCATTCGATAATTCCCTATCACCATCATTGTTGTCGTCGTTGTTGTCATCATCCTCATCGATACAAAGATTTATAAATGTAAGAAATTTTGGTGCAAGAAATGATGGAAAGACGGATGCAACAAAAGCATTCCTTGATGCATGGGATGCTGCTTGTTCTTCGACGAATCCATCCATTCTATACGTACCAAAAGGAGAATATTTGTTGAAACCATTGCAATTTGAAGGAAATTGTAAGAGCTCAAAAATTGTGTTCCAAATTGATGGAACCCTAGTTGCTCCTAATGATTATAGAGAGATAGCTTCAAGTCATCATTGGATTATGTTTCATGGAATAAATGGCCTTCATATTAAGGGTGGTGTCCTAGATGCTAAGGGTAAGTACTTGTGGAATTGTAAGGCATCTAATCAACAATGTCCCGATGGGGCTAAGGTAACCTCGTTATTTTTGCTTAACTTGAATTATACTTTTTTAGCCACCTGGCTATAATGTATTCGTTTGAATTGAACCCGGGTAGAATATATGTATAATGTACACTGTTTTTATTTAATAACTTATTTTAGTATCATTTCATATCATATGAATTTTTTGTACATATAGTAGTGTTCTATGTCATTCCTGTTGAAATAGATTGTTTTGATATAATTGGTAAAGATCGAATCTACTCAATGGTTAATGATCGAGAATTCGAGATCAATGATTGTCTCATACAAAACTTTACCTTATTGTTGATATCTTATGTGTCGTGTACGTTAATATCGATCTTTGATTTTGTATTTTCTAATATATACCTCTTCTCGTTTTTTGTTTCCTCTTTGTTCGTTGGAGTAGACGTTGGGGTTTGATAACTCGAAGAACATATTCATTGATGGTTTGACATCAATTGACAGCCAAATGTTCCATGTTACTATTAATGCATGCCAAAATATAAAGATAACAAGGATGACAATTACAGCACATGCTGATAGTCCTAATACTGATGGCATTCACATAGCCTTTTCAAGCGGAGTTACAATATTGGATTCAAATATTAAGACGGGTGATGATTGCATTTCAATTGGTCCAAATAATCAAAACTTATGGATCGAAAACATACATTGTGGTCCAGGCCACGGTATTAGGTATGATCTCTACATACGTACTATTAAAACGTTATGGTTAATTCTTATTTGATCTTTGTGTCTCTAGAATACTCAAGCTCATTCGAATACTTTACTGTGTTACCTTAATTTTTTTTAATATTTATGGTGAAATTAGATTGTAACAAAATTAAAATCTGTTACTATTATTGGTATTAATTTCATAATTATGCTGTTTGGACCAACAGTATAGGGAGCCTTGGACGTGAAAAGTCAGAAGAAGGTGTAATGGTCCAAAATGTGATGGTGAAGTCAGTAACATTCACAGGAACATCTAATGGGCTGAGAATTAAGACTTTTTCAACTTCAGTCAATGGAAGAGTTAAGGACATATTTTTCTTGGGGGCCCGAATGAATAATGTCCAAAACCCAATTATCATCGATCAAAATTATTGCCCTCATAATAGTTGCCCTACTGGCCAGGTATCCTTTGATTTCTTTCAGTTAAGTTCAGTTTAGTTCAATCTATCCCTTAAGAGCATATTATTAATCATTTTCTTTTATGTAATTTATATAATAGGGATCAGGCATACAAATTAATAATGTCGTATACAAGGGGATTCGTGGTACATCAGCTTCTAAAACGGCCTTGATCTTTGAATGTAGCTCCAAGAAGCCTTGTGTAGGATTAACGTTGCAAGATATTAAACTCTCGTATCGTAACGAGATTCCTGAATGTGAAGGTGAAAATGCCTATGGAAAAGTTATAGGGTTTATGCAACCTTCTAATTGTCTAAGACACTGACAATTACAATTGTTTCTAGGGTTGTATGGTTAGAGTATAGAGGCTAAGTTAAAACCCTACTTTTTTTTGCTAGCTAGGGATTTCATACAATTTAAAGTTTTTCTATCAATCAAAAAGAAAAAACTTTAAGTTAATAAAAAGAAAATAAAAGATACATTGTTACTATGTGACTAATAAAACTTAAATTCTCTCGACATCTTTAATTGCATAATAATAATAATATGTACTTGTACTTTTTTTTATTTACAGTTTATGTGCATGAATTGATATTCTGGATTCGCCTCTGAAAAGTATTATTTTGCTTCATATATTAAATTATGGATTATAATTTTATATTATTTTATATATTTTGATAAAAAATTATAACCAAAGTTCAAGCTCGAAAAACTGATGCTTATACTTGTGACCCGACTTTAATATTATCTTCATAATCATATACGTAGTATGAAGTATATGTACTTTTTTAAATTGCTTCCCCCACACAATTAGATTTTGACTAGCAACCAATCAAAAAGAATGAATTCTCACAAGTTACTCAAAATTATTCTAAAATTATTCTAGGGGTGGGCTCAAAAAAATTTAAAACTTTTATAAGGAGATCGATAGGAGGTTCATAAAGATCTTAGCAATATTTTTGAACAAAAAAGGGATTATGCTCAAATATATCGATCTAATCATTTCAAGTTATAGGCAATAAATTTGATTTCAATGTGTCTGAATAGTCTGATCTTATGCTATTGTATGATTTGTGTCCTTAGAAATCGGGCTGATTTGATTCTCCTGTATTTGGATTATTGGATAGGATTTTTTGAACCCAACTCAATATCTTAGAAATTTGGAACCATATAATGGGTTGGCAAACTCATGATTATCGCTCCCTAAAAGTGTCCATAAAATAAGAAAATGGCACATTCAAATTATCATGATGTTTACCTTATAAAGTAGATTTTATAATAGAAGTTGTTAAAATATTATTATATTGTGACATTTATCATATGTAATGAAAAATAAAATAAAGTGTTGTTCATAACTGTATAATACTTAGGGTCTATTCTCTTCAACTAATTTTCAGTTCAGTTCAGTTCACTTCATTTTCTAATTTCTTTCTTTTATAAAATAATCAGTCCTCAGTTTAGTTCAGCTCCAATTAATTCAGTTTAATTCAGCTCAATTCAGTAAATCAGAACAGACCCTTACAATACAAAGTACCGAGTAGATCAAAGTATTAATCATGCATGATTAACGTGTTAATGCGTTACACTTGTGCAGAAAGCAAGATCCAACCATCAAAAAGTTTAAATTAAAGTAAATTTTTTAAACTGATTTTTCAAATCATGCCTATTCTAAAATGATAAATAACGTAATGCATCCATTATATAGAAAAACGCATAGTCACAATTCCCTTAACCCCACGGTAGAGGAAAATAATTAGAAGTGTACGTGATTAGTGGATAACCTTTTGCAAAGTACCTAATGCATTGTGGTTGTGGACCTCTTTTTCACAAAAAGCTCCATTTTTTCCTTGATTGATCATAAGAAAAGACCTATCATAATCAAGTTTGTTGTAGAAAATTGGACAACTATTTCTAGAAAAGCAAGAATCCCCTATTTCTCTATTTTCATACAATTACTATACTTACCAATTTATTATTATTATTATTATTATTATTATTATTATTATTATTATTATTATTATTATTATTATTATTATTATTATTATTACTAGATGTAAGCCCGTGCGATGCACGGTTCTAGTAATTATTTTATTTAATTTAAAATTGTGTATATTTATGAAGATCATTCATTAGTTATATGGATAAAATTCTTAATATCATAAGATACTTTTTTAATTTTAACACTAAAGTTATCTTTTATTGTTTTATTTATTTTATGTGACGCACTGACGCTTGAATTTAAAATCCCAAACCTTATTCACTAATTTTGCTTATGTGACAATTTAAATTTTTAATTCAAAACTGAAATGACAAATATCGTTTTTTAATAAATCAAAATAAGTCTTTTGTCTATGCGTTTATTTAATATACTCGTTCTGTTTAAAATGTTAGTCTCATTTATAATCGTTTAACTATAAAATATTATGGGAAATTAGTCATATGAGATTTAGTTTTATTCGTCTTGATGAGTACATTATTAAAATCAGACTTTTACAACATTTTCTAGGTAGAGATTAAAGATATTTGAGATTAAAAATTTGCATCCATATATGTAAAAAAGATAATTATTACTTAATTTTTTTATTGTTTTTTTAGAGAAGATAACTATTGGTTTTCAAAAGTAATTTAAATTTTAATTATTCGCTATTCGTTGTTTTTACCTATGTGTCAAAATTCTTAAATTTTATTCGTCACTTTTTCTTAGGTGGCGAGTAAATTTTTTAATTCTAAAATAAATTATTAATCTAATTTTTCATTGGACAAAATAATATCTTTTCTTATGTGGCGCGTCAAATGCTCCCGAAAAATGCCTACTTTATTTAGGGAATTTTGACTTTTACCACCTTCAAATAACGAGTTTATTGAATTTACCACCTCCAAAAAAAAAAAGATTTACTTTACCACCTCATAAAAAAAAAACATCAGTTTTCCCACCAATCACCTCCAACTAACAAATTCCGTCCATAAATCCGTTAGTGGGGCCTACCTTGTACACGTGTCGCCATATTATTGGGTAAGCTTTAGAAAAAAAAAAAAATTTAAAAATTCCCATCCATCAACCGGTGGTTGCTGCCACCGTCGAGACCCCACCACCAGACCGACTACGACCAGCCCCACCACCTGACTGCTACGACCAGCCCCCACCACCTAACCGCTACGACCAACCCCACAACCTAATAACTACCACTGCACCGCACAACCACAACCACCGCACCGCACAACCACCGCATCGATTTCGACCCCCTTTCCACCAATTTAGGACCTCAAAATCCTGGCCACCACCTAATCACTACGACCAACCCCACCACCTAACCGCTAACACCGCATCGCACCGCACAGCCACAACCCCCACACCGGATTTCGACCCCCTTTTCACTAAATTCCGACCTCAAAACCCTAGCCACCAAATTTCGACCACCCATATAGCCCCCCTAATTCCGACAAATCTTCAAACCCTAGCCACCACCAAATTCCGCACTCCTAAAACCCTAACCACCCCCTGATTCCGACCACCTCCCTAGGTTACACCAAATTCCGACCCCTCCCTTGCTCCCACACGAAATTTCGACCAACCACGGTGTGTTAATTTCGTTGCCGGCTGGGTTGATATGGAAATCGGGGAAGATGAAGAAGAAACGTCAAAAAGGTGGGCCCTACTAATGGATTCATGGACGGAATCCGTTAGTTGGTGGTAAAATCGAATTTTTGGAAATTTTGGTGGTGGTAAAGTAAATCTTTTTTTTTTGAGGTGGTAAATGCAATTAAGTGGTTATTTGAAGGTGGTAAAAGTCAAAATTCCCCTTTATTTATATATATATTAGATTATTATTATTATTATTATTATTATTATTATTATTATTAAAGAAAAACTTATCAGTTTATTTTAGGGTTAAGTTTTGCGTAATTAGGTTTTAATCCCCTCCTAATTATTATTGCGGGGATCGAACACGCGATTTTTTCCACCAAAATGCAGCTCAAGTATCACTACATCAACATTCAATTGAGGCTTCAAAAAAAAACATCCAATTGATAGTTCGTTTTAGTTATGAATATACAAGTACCAACTTCTAATATAAGTACAAGTTTACTCTTGTGTAATCTACAATTCTTCACCAAAATTATCCAACCAATCTTTCAAACAAACCAACAACTCCACAACATAGTACGAGTCTAACTATATCGTCTATCATCATTTAGTTTTCATGTATGAATCCTATAACTTGTTCAAATGTTTGAAAGTATCAACTCGATTACTCTTCTTATGACAATACCTTCCAGGTAAGCTAGGTAGATAAAATAAAACTGATTTTTCCCCCTAATCTTTGTCTTTTAACTTGGTTAAATTACATTCTAATTTTGGCATTAATGCTAAAGATCGTTTGCCCCTTGCTATTCGCTTCACAATTTCTCTCTCCTCTCTGTCTTTCTCTCTCTAAATCTTTTTTAATTTTGTAGAATTTTCTCAATATTTTTTTTGCGTTCAATCTTATTTATTGAAAATTTGATATCTATATACCCCAGAAAGAAATCAAACCGAATCCCTCTTCCAATTTCAAATCATATAAACAGGTGAGTATAAAGTTATAATCTTTTTTCAGAATTTTGATAAAACAGTTTTTTTTTGTTAAAGGTAGTATTTTTCTTTAATTTTTTTTATGTTAATGGGATAATTATTGATGAAATTATGCTTAAATTTCAGGGTAATATTTCCTGTTGGAAGAGAGGAGCTAGAATTTGAAGGTTTTGTAGTAATATTATTGAAAAAGATGTTGACAGTTTGAAATTCGTTAAAAAGACAAAAATGGCTGCCAAAAACGTAAGTACTTTTTTACATTATTCTATTATTGGATTTTTTTTTTATTTATTTTAATAAAATATGTAAGGGATGATATTTTAATTGCTTATTAACATGTTTATCTTGCTTGTTATGTAATTGATGATTATATTATTACCAGGTGTTTTGTTTTACAATTTATAATTTGTAGTTGTTTGATGATGAATACTTTTTTTTTTATAAAATTCATTTCTACTTTGAAAATGTCAAAACTATATCTATTACTTTGTTAAAATTGTCTGAAAATTGAAAACTTTGGTTAATCAGGCTGCATAATTCTGTTTTGATGATTAACTGCCTCGAATTTCGGTTAATGAAGGATGTTTATTGAGTATTAGATAGGGTTTATTAATTTATGATGCTGCAAGAATGAGTTTTGCTTATGAGACTAAGTCAAAGTTCATCTGATCATGCTACAAATTCAGCTTTATTTATTATCAGACAAGTAGTTTTTCTGATTACAAACGAAGCTGAATTTCTGTGGATGTTTAGCTGTAGATTTTGCAAAAATGCAAATGTAGTGAGAGTCTTGATGCATATGAGGACCTATAGCTCATGGTTATTTGTGACTTTGTGAGCTGTGAATCCTGTGATTTGGTATGATGCTTATGCTTGTTTCGGAATGATTAGTGCCACAGGTCTTAGGAGTTTGGACTAATATAGTTTTACTCTCATCTTCTATAGCACCTCCTAGATGATTGACCCTTTTTCTCCCTTTTGCATTGTTGCTACATCATCTAGGAGCGCTTAATCTTAGGTGCATCTTATAATTTGCCCTTGTTGGCCTTATGTAGTACTCCGTATATTTTAGGAGAAGAATCTCAATGGCATGTGGACATCATTGCTGAAGAAGTCTTTGACACTTCTTCAGCAATACATGTAAATCCTTATTCATAGTTATCATTGAAGTAGGGAAAATAAGCTATACTCTTTCTTCTACAGCCTGATTTAATATTTCAAAGTTTGTTCTGTTTGGATTGTGTACTCATTGTGGGTAGAATAGGACTCATTGTGAAACGATATAAAATGCTGTTGTATCTTAGTGTGTATGTGATCTTTGTATGCTAAGGGTGGAATAGTAAATTATTTTGAGTCTGCACCAGGACATTCATACTAGCTTTCTTCCTTTACATGAGATTGATGATATTATGATATATGCAGATTGCAATGTTTTCTGATACAAAAAGCCGAAGGTCATGTATTTGCAGTGTTTTTCAAGCAGCTGCTGCAGTTGTCCTAATTTACTTGATAGGGAGTGTTTTTATTCTACCAGTTTACAGACAGGTATGATCTGTCCACCAAATACTCATGTGTTTTATAAGTTGAACTTCCTAGAGATAACTTTCGGCTTTCTTTTGATTTTTGCAACCAACAATGTGTAGCAAGACTAGCAACACCTAAATAACCTTGTCTTCCTGTGCAGGATACTCCAAAAATGGGGCTTGCTGGAAGTATGGACCTATTACTAGGCAATAGATGTGAGGTCTGTTTTCCTTCCTATGCAGATAATAATAGATCGTGTGCCTTTTATCTTATTATTTTCTTTTTCTTCATGTTCTAGAATCAGTGCAGACCTCGTGGAAGCGAGTCATTGCCTCAAGGTATTGTTGCAAAGAATTCTAATTTGGAAATGAGACCACTATGGGGCCTTCCAGAGGTAAATTATGTTTCTTTTCCTTTTTTTCATATGTATGTTTAGTTAGTGAGGCTATTTAGCTAACTGTCAACCATGTAACAAGGGTTGAAGTCTTATTCAGCCAATTTAGGCATCTGTCAGCTAACAGCTAGCAATTTAGAGTTTTACTTATTTAGCTGAAAACCTTTATCATTCCTATCATGATGTGTATTTCAGTATGATCACAGTTTTTCGTGGAATATTTGATCAATTGTAAGTTTGCTTGAGCAGAAAAGTAACTCATCACTGAGTTTGCTGGCAGTTGCTGTTGGGATTAAGCAAAAACAACTTGTGAATGCAATGGTTAGCAAGGTAATTATCATCTGCAACAGTGTTCTTGCTGCTTACTGCTCTAGCACAGGTGTTGCACATAACGTACTAATTCTTTCCATGTGGTATTTCAGTTTCTCTCGACGGGTTTTTCTGTGATGCTTTTCCATTACGATGGTAATCTTGATCAATGGAAGGATTTTACGTGGAATGATCGGGTCATACACATATCTGCAATCAATCAAACTAAATGGTATCACCCTTGTCGTATCATGCTTGTTTTTCTGTGATAGCTACACTTAAAGCTTCTTTTTGGCATGGATAATGTTCATTGTCTTTATAATCAGATTAATTGCTTATATCCTGACTTGGCTCAGGTCTTTTATGGTGATATAGGTGGTTTGCAAAGCGATTCATGCATCCAGATGTAGTTGCTGCCTATGAATATGTTTTTCTCTGGGATGAAGATATTGGAGTAGACTATTTTGATCCTTTAAGGTGTGTACCATCCTGCATTCCTGCACACGTGTAAAGCATGTACTAATATTTTAAGATGAAATCTCATTTAGATGATTATTATGATTTTGTAATTGAGTGAATTATAATTTTATGCTCATTTATTAGAATATGAGCCAAAGTTATTACATCAAAAATGTCAAATACAGTAGTAAGTAGTTTCATTCTTCTGCAAGATGATTAAAGTCATTTCCTACCACTTAATCAAAAATCTTTTGTTTTCGAATTTGGGTGAGACGTGAGACATAAGCTGCTAATTTGAAGAGGTTGATAACAGCCTTATGATCATCTTGTAGGTTGTCAATGTTGTCATAGAAACACAAGCTTGATGTGCATTTAAGGTTAAGTGCATTCAGTTAATTTTCCTTGTCAAGCCGCATATCTACTTGTTAGAATATTATGATGTAAAAATGCAAAATTTTGCAATGCTTCACTTTTCTGTGTATATGTTTTCCCATCCTTTGTGCATTTGCTAAGTTGTTAGATTGAATCAATTTACTCAACTCGGTCTCAGGGAATGTTTGAATCTGAGGACTGGACCAGCTATCTTAATTGAAACCATTTAATCCTTATTGGGTTGCTTTTAATGCCTTTATATATTTAATGTAGGTATGTATCCATCGTTAAAGAGGAGGGTCTTGAAATCTCCCAGCCAGCACTTGATGGTAACAGATCAGAGGTGCATCACCAGATTACATCTCGGGGAAGGAGAGGAAAAGTTCACAGGTAATCTTTGTGCTACTTTGGCATCTTGGTGTGTAGTCATAGCTTTGGTCGCTTACGTTTTTGCCTACACAATTAATCCGATACATTTCCAACTCTTTTGCGTCAATTCTACATTGGTTCACTCCTGCTTAATCAACTCTGGATCTGCTATGTTTTGAGCTGACATATGAACATACATTGTAAAGCTTTTTTTTTTTTTTTTTTGGTATGTTTTTGTTTGTTGTAAAATAACTTGAAGCTATTATATGGTTTGTAGGAGAACATACAAGCATAATGAATGCGATGAAGACAGTTCTGGTCCTCCTTGTACAGGGTAATTATATCTCTACTTTAAAGGATAAGAGAAACTAGCTAGCTATAATAATTATCTTGGCACTCTTTAAACTTAAGAATATATTCAGGGAGGTAAAAGCCGAATAAGACTTTTGATGTGTTGCAGGTGGATAGAAGTCATGGCTCCAGTGTTCTCTCGAGCAGCATGGCGTTGTGTATGGTACATGATTCAGGTTTGTCTTTCCTATGATCTGCAGCTAATATCTCTAGAATTTAGGGGATCTCTTTTTTATATATATACATATATATTTACCATGGAATTTAGGGTATCTCCTGATTGTACATGATATATTATTGCTTTTGAAATCTTATCACAAACTTCTGTTGAAGTGTTTGTATTTCCAATCTTATCAATGTGCTATTTAAGAATAGTCTTAAAAGAGGCAATATAATTACTTAGTTAATGAACTAAAACTTGCTTGCGGTGTGTAGAGGTTTTGAATTTTTCTTCACAAAACATGCTTTGGCATTGTTCATGTTTTAATCCAATGTGTTTTGCAGAATGACTTGATCCATGCTTGGGGTTTGGACATGCAGCTGGGATATTGTGCCCAGGCAAGTTTTTGGTGATCATTATTTGTCGCACTTTATTTTGTGCATTTTCCTCGTTATAATTATAGGTTTTTTTAATTTGCTATTCACAGGGAGATCGAACCAAAAAAATTGGGGTTGTAGATGCTGAGTATGTGATACATTACGGCCTACCTACACTAGGGGAGCCACTAGGAAAAAAGGTTAGCAGTAGCGTATCCACAATAACTTATTCTTCATGACTTCATCCCTCGGGTTGTGAAGTAATTGTCTAGTTGATTAGTAGCTGCAGAACTAGTTTTCTTATCTTGTAGAGTTGTAGGGAAGGATCACTTAATGTATCTTACCATTTTGCCGTTTTTCTTATGTAGCCTCAACTCCATGTGCTTGACAAGCGGGTTGAAGTAAGTCTTCTGGATGAATGCTTTACTATCTTCATACTAATTTATGAAAGTTATATGATTGATGAATATAGCAGCATTGCTATAACTATGACTAGTATATATAGCTGTAGTTTTCTATGCATTGAGGGACTAGAATAGTATATAGATTAAAAACATTATGATATTTTTCTGGTTGTCAGCATTTGTAACATGTCAAAATAAAGAGTATGAGTATTTCAACTATTCACAAGTTTTGAAAGTACGAAAAATAGTGTGGTTAATTTGTTTTCTCGCAGCAAAATTTGTAGTTTAGTTTTAGATGCCTAATGAACTCTTGGATACTTCTCAGGTGAGGAGACAGTCTTACAACGAATACAAGGTCTTCAGAAGGCGATGGGATAAAGCTGCCCTAACCGATGAATGCTGGACAAATCCCTATCCACAACCATTGAAACCAATCTCTCGGTAACAGGTACACAACACCGAAAGACTTTATATACACAGATTAAGGACATAATAGTTGTTTATAGATAGCATTTACAGAAATGAAGTCTGCTAAATACCAAACTATGAAAGAACATTTTTGTACAGAAGAGTTGTATACAATGTATAACAATAGTCAAAATATATTTAGTTATTTGTAAGCTTGTCTGGGTTTGAGTTATGTGCCATACTTGGCCTGGCTTGTATATAAATACGAATTATAAAGTATTAAGTATACAACTATAGTCTATACATGATATGATTCTATCATGCCAAAGAAAAGTTGTGTATTTTGGTCATGTTTGGTTGATCTAGTGGCATCTACCATTTTCGTCTTTTTGGAGTCATGTTGTTTTTATTATTATTATCCGTGTATAACCTTTAGTTATGGACCCTTATGATAGATCCCTATAAAAAGATAAGTTGTTGATTTATTTACGGTTATGACTTTGATATATCAAGGAGATTATTGGTATTTTCTGGATTTTTTTTTTTTTTTTTTCAATTTACTCGTCGTATTTATTATTCTCTAGTATCTGTACTTGAAACTGTTGAACAGTTAGTTACTGCAAAAAGTTAGGAATGGAGAAGTATAAGAGCTAGAGAGTTGAGTTGGTCAGCCAATTAAAGCACATCTGGAATTATTGATGGTTTATTATTGATGACTATCCAACCATAACAAATCACTGAATGGTCAAACTGAAGTAAATTAAACTGAGCAATGTTGACTTCATCACCTAAAATTTATGTACATTAATGATGAAGAACTTGTACCCAATTGCCAGGAATAAGTGATTAAGCAAGAACTTGTACTACGCTCCTTATGATATTATGATACGGAGTATAATATTTTATTCGCTTTAAAAGAGATCTGAAACACGTAAATAATCCGTATATTATACTATATTATAATTAATATCATCTCATACAAGCATACAATAAAGTAATTTACGTGGTAATGAATAATACTTGTTTGGGTCCAATTTAGTCAAAATTGGGCCTAAGCACTAAATGATCCAATTAAAAGCCCAAGGTCAAGGTTCAACTCTCCAATTGCTCAAAAGTCAAAGGTCAGCCCACAAAGTAAGCCAATTGGGCTAAAGCCCAACCTCTCCATGTATGATGAGGTATAAAAGCCATCATATTGACACATTCAAAAGGACACATACATTGATATTCCAATTCATATGCTCATTCTTGCATTCAGAAATATTCCACAAAAAGCCTCAAGCTACAAACTCTCTTGCATAGTGTCTTCCTTTTACACATTGTACTGACTTTAGCATCGGAGGAGCCTTCCTCGGAAACACCCCCGAGGCTAGTTTACGTGTGTTCACTGTGCAGGAAACCTTCGGCCCAACACAACTTGGATCGAATCCAGTCTTCTCCATTTCAGTGGACCTTCGGCAAGGTCCCATTGTTTTCAACCGAAACAATTTGGCGCCGTCTGTGGGGAAGACTTTCAAAAATCTTTAAGCCAAATTCCTAACCAAGATCATCTTGCAATTATCTTAGCAGCCATGGCTAAGAACCGCAAGAGCAAAAGCCTCCGTCAAGGAGCGGGCGAAAAGCCTAAAACCCCTACACCATCGCCCTCGCCGGACCGGAACTCTCCCAAGGGTGCCGGCTCGGGGGGAGGATCACACAAGGAGGATTCCCTATCTCCTATAATGCATGACTCTCAATATAGGCCGGACCACTCTCGGTCTAGCAGGGGTCAGTCTGATCATAGGACATATTCAGTGTCCCAAAGCCAACCATCGGCTGCACGGCCTCATTACCACACTCGGCCGGGGACCCCTTTGACGGGGCCCAGTACGGAAGAGGTGGCAAGAGCGCTGGCAGTACTCATGGAGGCAATGAGGGCACAGAATATGCCACCGCCTCGTGATCGAACTCCTCCGCATACCCGGCATCAGCGGAGGAAGTTAGACCATGACGGTGGGAAGCTTCCTTCCTTCCGGGAACTGGAAGAGTGGGAGGAGGATTCTTGGAAAAATGAAAAACAGAGGAAGAAGAACTCTCAATTATTTAAAGGATCCTCATCCTCAAGACCGGCAGCGCATAAGAGCAGCAGCTCAGCTTCTCGGCCAGAATCTACTCGCCGGGAACCTGAGACTGCTCGCAGAAGCGTCCTTGACCGACTCGGCGGCCAGGAACCGAGCGTGCGTAGTCGCCTCTCGTTCCCTGCAGCCGAGGCCCAGACTTCCCAGCCAGGGACGAAAACCACTCCTACCTCTCTAAGAGGGCGGAGCGCGGTCCCTTCGGCCAGGAACAAGGGCAAGGCCATTATGCTACCCGCTAGTTCACCATTCGAGCAATGGATACTGGAAGAGCGCGTACCCACGGTTAAAATACCGTCGCATATCACATATGACGGGACCACGGATCCGAAGGACCACGTGGCCTCGTATGAGACTCATATGCATCTTTGCCCCAGATCCGAGGCGACTTGGTGCAAATATTTCCCAACCACTCTCAAGGGGGTCGCGCAAGCGTGGATCTCCAAGGGAGTAAGGCAAGGCTCCATAACAGGTTGGGATGATCTGTCCTCCAAGTTCAGGAGCAAGTTTTCCACGGCAAACCGCCGAGAGAAGACTACCGCAGAGCTCATGAGTCTGCAACAGGGGGAAACCGAAAGCCTCCGAGACTACCTGACCCGTTTCAGTAACGAGTCATCAAGCGTCTCTCAGCTGGACCAGGGGCTAGCTGTTTTTGCAATGCAGAATGGCCTTCAGCCAGGAAAATTCCTAGACTTCATGGTCATGCATACCCCGCAGACCTTGGAGGAAGCTCTTAGTGCTTCGGATAAGTTCATCCGAGCCGAAGAATGGAATAAAGCAAAAACCCAACCTCAATCCGGGGGAGGGAAACAGAGGCAAATACCTTTGTCTGAAGGCCAAGGCCATAAGGCAAAGGGAAAATCAAAGGCTCCGGAGCCATCTCCGGCCAGCGACCTAAAGAAGGACAGGTTTGCCTCATACACAGGCAGATATGAGTCCTACACTCCGCTCTCTCTTCCACGCGCCAAAATTTACAGTGTGACGAAGGAGGAGCAGAGTTACCGAAAGCCGAGACCACTCCCAGAGTGGTATCAGCGAAAAAATAAAAATCAGTGGTGTGAGTTCCACGAGTCTTCGGGCCACAACACTGAGGAGTGTATCCAGCTGAAGGACCAGATAGAGGACATGGTCCGGAAGGGATACTTGAAAAAATACATCGCGGATCACCGCGAGAAAAAAGAATCCGAGAGGTTAGCAAAGGACCCTCGGCAGGACCTTGATTTCCCCCGGAAAAACAGTAAAAAACAGGAGGGGAAATTCCCTCCGATCAATGTTATCTCGGGAGGAATATACTCTCGGAGGGAGCACAAGCGTCACCTTAGAGCTTTGACTCACCAGGTGAACAACGCTGACATTCAATCTCCCCAGTCGCCGGTGCCGAACATGACGTTCACAGCCGCCGACTGCCGGGGGATTACGTTCCCTCACGAGGATCCGTTGGTGATCATCGCCACGGTGGCCAACCACGACATCAGTAAGGTCCTTGTTGACGGTGGCAGCGGAGCAAACATTCTGTTCCGAAAGGCCTACAACCAAATTAAGCTGAAGCCCAAGCACCTTACGCCGGTACCATATCCGGTATCCGGGTTCAATGGGGCTTCAACTTATCCAGATGGGAAGGTGACACTTCCTGTCACCATCGGTTGCGATGAGGCAGCCCGGAACGTCATGATTGAGTTCTTGGTCATCGACGCTCCTTCAGTGTACAACGTGATTTTGGGGAGACCCATAATTCACGAGATCCAAGGGGTCGTCTCAACTTATCATCAACTGATGATTTACGTATCAGACGCCGGCTTCCCCGAAAGGATACAGGGCAACCAAAAGGACGCCCGAAGGTGCAACTACCTCAAGCCATCCAGTAGTCGCCCAGATAACGACAAGGATGAGGAGGAGAAAGAAAAAGAAGGAGAGCCAAGCACAAAAAAGCCGAAAGGCCTAAGTGCATCGGCCCAAGGATCCGTGCCCAGAGAAAAAGGTCCCGAAAGGGAGAAGGTTGACTCTTCAGCTGAGCCGCAAGACTCAGAGAGCCAGCCGAAGAACACAAAGACTGGGACACCTGCTGACATTGGCAGCAGACCAGATTCTGAAGAGTCCAGTCCATCGGCAATGGACATGGACCAACAGACTGAAACAGTTGAGTTGGCCGAAGGAGATGCTGAGAAATGTGTAACAATCGGGATGGACCTTGATCCTAACACCCGTTGTGAACTTATTCAGCTCCTTCGGGATAACAGAGATGTGTTTGCTTTCTCGGCAGCTGATATGCCCGGGATAAGTTCAGACCTCATCTCCCATAAGCTTAATGTTGACCCAGCGTGTCGACCAGTTAAGCAAAAGAAGCGGAATTACTCCGCCAATAAGAACCGAGACATCGCAGCCGAAGTCAAAAAATTATTGGAGGCAGGGTTCATTGAACCTTGCCAATATCCGGAATGGCTGGCAAATGTGGTGATGGTTCAGAAGCCCAATGGTACCTGGAGGATGTGCGTTGACTTCACGGACCTAAATAAGGCTTGTCCAAAGGATTTCTATCCCTTGCCAAGAATCGATCAGCTAGTCGATTTGACAAGTGGCCATGCCTTGCTTAGTTTCATGGACGCATTCTCGGGGTATCATCAGATCTTTATGCACCCCGACGATCGAGCCAAGACAGCATTTGTCACGAACGCTGGGGTGTATAATTACAAAATGATGCCCTTCGGATTGAAAAATGCGGGGGCAACCTATCAAAGGCTGGTGGATCAAGTTTTCGCCGATCAAAAGGGCCGAAACATGGAAGTCTATGTTGACGATTCGATCGTCAAAAGCAGAAAACTAGAGGACCATGTAAAGGACCTGGCTGAAACTTTCGCCACCTTGAGAAAGCATCAAATGAAGCTGAATCCGAAGAAGTGTGTCTTCGGCGTGAAGTCAGGGAAATTCCTGGGTTTCATGGTCAGCAAAAGGGGGATTGATGCCAATCCCTCTAAAGTCAAAGCGGCGCTCGACCTTCCTGAGCCGAAAACGAAGCGGGATGTTCAGCGGCTCACTGGAAGAATGGCAGCCCTCTCGAGGTTCATTTCCAGAGCTTCGGATAAGGGGTTACCCTTCTTCAAAGCCCTGAAACTCCCGAAAACAAAAGAGCTTGTTTGGGAGGAAGAGCAAAAAGACGCCTTTCAACAGCTTCGGGAGCATCTGGCTCAACTCCCAACGCTGGCTAGCCCAGTTGAAGGAGAAACTCTATACCTATATGTGGCCGTTAGCCCAGCCACCATCAGCGCAGTATTGCTGAGGGAAGAGAGTAAGAGTCAGCAACCGATTTATTTCGTCAGTCATACACTGACGGATGCCGAGACCCGCTATCCTCTACTCGAGAAAGTTGCTTTCGCGGTAGTGGTGGCTGCTCGGAAGCTGAGGCCCTATTTTGATT